TAGTAGCCAGTTTTACTAGTTTGGGATGTTAATCCAAAGAAAAGAAAAAAAAATGTTTAAAAGTCGTTAAAACACACAAAAAATTAGAAGAAACGAAATGTGAAAAAAACAAAAAAAAAGTAAACCAACAACAAATAGCAGCTGAGTGGCAAACATTCTGCTGCTGTAGAACCAGGCGCAAGCGGTTCTGCGATGAAAAAGTCCAGCAATTTGACGTTGTGCATCTAAAAATATATAACATGTAAATATTATATTTGAGAAAACAAAAAACAAGTTTCAAGAATTTTAAATATAGTCTTTTCGAAAAGTATAAACGTAGTTAAACAGTTTTTTGTGGTGACACATTTAAAGAGACGCAAAGCGTAGAGTATCTATTTAAATATATTAATGACAGAATTAAAAAAAATTATTTGTGTTGCTGGTAGCACACAGCATTTACACATTAATAAAACAAATTTTTGGACATTTATTAACAAGTGTAAGTGGGGGCCTATACGCCGGCTTAGCTTAAGTTGTGTGACTTTTTTCTTACTCACGCCAACAAAAAGCGTCATCATATTAAAAACAAACAACCTTTGGGCAAAATAAATTAACTAAATTGAAGTTGTCAAACAGTAACTAGTGAAACTATTAAATATGGATACGTAATTTCAATTTTGTTTAAATAATAACGAAAATAGTTTTAATTTAAAGTCAAAGCTATAATACCCTTCACAGGTATAACCTACTACTTCACTTTTGAAGTAAAAAAGACTTAAGATACGAACTTGTTACAAAATAAATTGCAATACATGTATATTTCGTTTAATTTTACCATATTAACCAATTAAACTATAAACTATTTCCTCAAAGCCAATAATTACAACAATAAAGTTTATGCGTTCGACTTTCAACGATTACCTAACTTTCTCACTGACCTTATTAAAGCACAGGAAGCAACAATATATTTCTTAAACAGAAATTTATGGTAAAGAAATCAAATTTGAACAATTTTCCACTCAAACAACTTAAGTGCTGGAAAGTGTAGCAAATTGCCTTCAAAGTGATTGCAATTTATGACAGACAATCGCAGACAAATTTTTGCACCAATTGCATAACCGTATAACTGTAAATATGCAAATTGAGTGTTATAATTTATTGAATGGATGAAGTGGTTCAAACATTAAATTCAATAAAAAATTAAAAAAAAAAATTAAAATTTAAAATATTAAAAATAATTACAAATATCTCAGGCAAAATATTTTTATATAGAATTTTTTTAATTAGAATTTGTTATATTATATTTTATTTCTTCTTCATTTTGAATTAAATAATTTTATTTGATCATTTTATGTATTTAGTTCCTCTTGCCTTTTCTACCTGTCATTCTTCATCCAAAAATTTGTATATGCCTTCGAAAAGAAAATTTCGCCACGGGAATTTTCGCATCCCACAAGGTGTAAAAAAACATATTTTTTAGCAATAATAAAAACACGCATAGCGTTGCATCGCATGTTATGTCTATTGTCTATTAAAAACGCTTTCTAAAAGCCATCACAGATCACACTGTTGCGAATTTCGTTGAAATTAAAAAAACAATTAATTCATGATTTGAGAATTTACATTTCAATACATTAAGATCTCAAACTACTTAATAATATAATATAATGGAAGATGTAAAATCAATTTAATTTTTTTGCAAAAGTTTTTTTAAGCAAAAGTTTTAATTTTAACAATCAAATCAGCAATAGTTCAATATAAAGTAAATGAGATATATCATTATAACGCGCACTGTCTAGTTTTGAACGCGATTACTTTAAAGACATCTCATACCATCCCAGAGATAAAATTTAGTGTCTCTGGCGTGTTTAGTGCTTGATTTATCGCGCTTTTGGTAGTTCTTAACAGTACCGTTATATGGGGAGTGGGCGGAGTTGTCCCCGATTTCACCCATTTGCACACTGTCGATAGAGGTGCAACATAAACATTTGCTCCCAGTGAATTTTGTTATTATAGTTTTAGCGGTTTAGGAGATATGCACATTCAACCTATTAGGGGGCGGGACTACGCCCACTTTTTATAAAAATTTTAAACTGTAGATGTCCCTCCCTAATTTGTTCCAGTATACCAAATAACAGTATTGTATCTTATTGTGGAGCTTAGTTATGACAATGATTAATAGCGTTTTGTAGGCGTGGCAGTAGTCCGAATACGCCCATCAGCCATGCCAACAGTCTCACGGTACCAAGAAACATGTGTACCAAGTTTCATAAAGATATCTCAATTTTTACACAAGTTACAGCTTGCACAGACTGATGGTCAGACAGTCACTCGGATTTCAACTCGTCTTTTCATCCTGATCATTTATATATTGTATATATAACGCTATATCTAACGCGATTAGTTTTATTTTAGTCACATATCACGGATTATAAAGAAAAACTTTCTGACGTCTTACAAACATTTTACTATCACTTCTCACTGAATTTATTTCGCTTCCGTCTTAAGCACCAGACCAATCTTCCGGTTTTACGAACAATGCGGTGGCTTCTATGTCCATAATTGCCACTGTCGTCTTTTGCGATGATCATCTAAATTTGTATACTTCTCTGTATCAAAAGTAAGAGTAAATAAATATGTTTTTAGCATTTCTTAATTTTACGGCCTTGCTTTGAGTGTTTCTAACTAAACGCATTTAATGCGTTAAATATTCGAAAAAGTGATCCCATTATTTTGTTCGTAACTGTATATATGAGCCAATATGAAATGTAAAAATACCACCAACCAGAACAAAAAGAAACAATAATCTTATGAAGTAATATTTGAACCATAACACTGTACAACACTGGGCTGGTTATTGGACAACACAAATTTTTTTCGAGAGATTGAGTCATAACTAAAAAGTAGTTTCTCCGTTTTACGAATTTAGGATCACAAATCGAAATATTTGCCTTTGAAATTTGAAATATTTTACTCTCAGGCTTATATGGCAGATGCTATAAGCGAGTAAAGGCAGAAAATTGTAATATTTTCATTATCCGTTCGAAAAATTGCTATAAATGTTGTACATACAAATCTGTAAAGAAATTCCTTGATCAATTTTTTGGAATAAGCAAAAATCGAAGACGAACCAAAACGCGTCCAAGCAAAACAGCTGTTAAAAATTAACTAAAAATTCAAAATGGCGGACCTTTTCAGTATAAGTAAGAAATATAAGTAACAACATAACATAAGATTTAAAATTCGCGATATATTTTGAACAGACCTCGTATCTATAAATATACCTATACATATACACATATACATATACATATATACAAATTATATATATTGTATATATATTTGCAATAATAAATAAATTATATACGCCATTCACTCTTCCGATTCCGTGTATTCCCAGCAGATACATAGCTGTATAGAAACTTAGCTTCATGCACACCTACATATATACATATGGGTGTGTGTATTACTTGCACGTGTACAAGTATTTGCATAGAGAAAAACGTTCACCAGAAGCACAGCGAATGCTTAAACCGCCCACACATGGTTAGTCTTGCCACTGGGTCTGCATCGCACAATGTGCTTGATAAGCTCCATGTATTGCAAACAAACAACAATAATAAAATAAAATATTAAAGCAATGACACCTTTCTATAAAATATCCTTTTAAATTTTTTTTTTATATTGGTGTGCGGGGTTGTAGCATACAAATTATACAATAATTGAAAGTGAAATTTTCACCACTGCCTTGCAGCGTAAAATACATTTCGTTTACTAGTTGCAGTTGCAGTTTTTTTTATATTTTATTGTTATTTTTTTTATTTTTACGGCTGTCATCCTTGTATTACTAATGGGTTTTTATTTTGCTGTCATTTTTTCTGGTCAAATATTATGACTCCTTAACTGACACAAACATAATAACCTATTTATGCGATTAGCACAAATAAAAGATTCACAAATGAAAACAAAATAAGTTTTTGATAAATTAAAAAAAAAGGAAATAAAAAATTATTTGAAACAAATTTTTGAAAAAATATTAATTTTTGCTTCACATTTTATTTAAAAAACATAAAGCTTTTAAAAGAGGGGTTTTTTAAAATTATTATAAATAAATTTTAATTAAAAAATATATATACCATATATACAATTTATTTCTTTTTATCTGAATTTTCTCGCAATTTGCTTTTGTGAATTTATTTGGGTTTTAGGTAAAATTAGCTATTTTTTTTTCCAACATATGGCCTCACCTCTTTGTTGTTATAAATTTGACCTTCACATCATATAAAAATATTTAAGTGTAATTAAACTAAATGTAATTAGCAGCTGATCAAATACATATTTACATGCACTGGGAGGGGTTTGACGATCACTATTTCAATCACATAATGATTGCCACCTGCGCAGCTGCCATTAATCAACTGCTACCTTTGAGCGCTGAGTACAAATAATCGATTGTAATCCAATTTGTGCTAATGTCTTTGCAAAGATATATATATATATATACATATATATTCTGTTTAACAATAATTACTGAAAAAAACAAAAAAAAATTTATTTGTTGTTGCTAATTGAGAAAAAGTTTTAATTCACATAAGATACCACAAAGCTGTTGGCTCTTTAGAATAGAATGATGGATTGAGTGATAGGTATATATGTGCTTTTGGATTTTTTGTAAATTGAATGTCTCACAAACAATTTGTTAAAAAATTATTTTTCAAACATTTTTCCAATTTTTAAATTTTTTACATTAATAAAAAACCAAATTTTTAAAATTTTTATATAACATACAACATTCATTAAACATTAAAAAAGTTCAAAACCATATAAATTTTTAGTTTATATAAATTTTTATATAAAGAACTTATATTATTAAGCTGTTATAGATCTACTTTAACCCTCGCGATAAGTTAATTGAAGTATTTAAAAATATTAAACATTTTATGATATATGTTAGATATTTGAAAAATATGTTTCATCCTTTACAATACAACCAAAATTTTCTTTTTTTACTTTCTTTGCAGTTAACCGTTAGAAATTAATAAGCATCAACATTGTATACAAAATGTCACACAACATTAGAATTTTATTGGCGATTATCGCATCAATTGTCACAGTATGCTCATCACTGCCAGATGTAAGTACAAAAAAATTATAATAAATATTTTCAAAATGAAAAAAAGACATGTTATAATAAGTAAAAGCTTCGTTTAAAACAAAAATTCAGGAAAAAGATGAGCTCTCAATTAAAATAGAATCAGAGAAAGCTTCAGAAAAACTTTTGCACTTAAGTAATAATGAATGCGCTGTGAAAGCTGCAGCTCCATTTCAACGAAATTCTTATTAAATCCATCATGTACTTTATGGCTACCATAAACTGTTTTGCAAAAAAAAAAAATTATTGTGGCTTCGGTAACAATCGGGTGCCAAAGTCAGGTGATCAAGCTTTGTTAATGCTTTGACTGTTGCTTCCGTGAGTGTAATTATCAGCCATTTGTTACTATGATAATCTCAAGTGCGGTAGGGTTTCAAACAAGGGCTGCAAGGCCATGAAATAACAAATCGTATGCAGGAAATTAGTTTCAACCAATCGTTCTACATAACCTAAAAGACCTTCATCTCTAGTCTATCAGTGATTTAACTAACATTTATATATGGACCATAGATTGTAGTGAATTCCTCAACTCTTAATGTAGTATTTGAAAATGTCATTAATATATTTCAAGTTATACCTTGTAAATTACTTCAAATGCAGCATGACGATTGTTTTGTTTCTACAATATATCTAAATTTACAAATTTTCTATTTATGACCATCTGTCCATTAAATCAATCGCATGGCGAACAATTACCTCCAAACTAACGACACTTACATAGTTACACGCATTTCTGGTTACGCGTGCTATGTCATTAACAGTCAGCACAAGGCTTTGAATACTAAATATGAAACAAAAGAAACAAGCCACAACAACAACGCTAACAAAAAACAATAGATTTGAGTCACAAATGTGCAGCGAAGCAATACCGATAGTGATGTGCCGCAGTGAGGGCTAATAATATGCAAATCAGCGCAATTGTATAGAAATAAAAAAAGTGTTGCATGCGAGAAATATATAAGAAAGTTCGTTGCTATAAAGATATTCAATAATTTTTTTTTTTTCTAAACAAAAAACAGTATAATAAATAATTTAGCAAAAAAAAGTGATAATCATTAGCCAAAGGTAAACCAAAAAATATACGGAAAATTAAATTACTTGCAGAAGGGCATCACTCGCTACAAAAACAAAAAATTACTAGCAGCGTAAACATGTTGTGAATGCACTAAGTAATGACTTTAGAGCAGACCAGCACACGTACTTTGCGCGAAGCTTAGATGATTTTGTGCTTAGAAGGTCGTCACTGAACCCAATACCTTCTTTAAAATATAGAAATAAGCATATAAATTATGTATACTAGCAATTTTGAATGTTTTTTTAATTTTATAATTTTTTTAATTTTTTTTTCGAGGATTATGCGTTCACATGCTTTGCAGTTGTTGTTATACGGCGTCTGCGCATACGCACAACAACATTGGAGTCAATCTGTACCAAAAATCTGCATGCACTCAACATAGCTGCGCATAAAAGCGCGTAGCACTAAATAGTATAGCATAACTGCATAAATTGAGTTACGTTATATTTCTAAAAGCCAATTGCCTGCTAAGTTGTAAAAATGTATTATTTACAATTGCATTCAAATGGGCGTTTAGTTGCTTAGATAAAGTATATATGCTGTCATTTCGGTTGATATATCTCTCAATGAAATAAACATGAAATAATTTTTATATGTTGCACTTTTTTCTTTTAATTTTCTTTGTATAAGATGGCTGCCTATTTAATTGCTTTTTATATGATTCTTGCTTACCTAACCGCTTTGCTGCTTCTGTGAGCCGTCAAAAGTTAAAAACTATGTAAACAAAAAAAAAACAAAACCGGCTACAATGCTTATCGGATTTGATTAAATTTATTTATTTATGGTAGACTTCTGCACGAACTGCAATAAATGAATTCTTGTTTACTGCCTGCATACTTTTATATTAAAATGAAGCTTAAGCTACTGCTCATTTGTATGCCTTCAAAAGAAATATGGTCAAGGTTGTGTGACGCTATTTTTGGCCAAGAAGTTTTACTTTGTTGTGAGTGCACAGTTAATTAATATTAAGAGATGATTGAACCTTTTATTTGCTTTTATAAACACTTTTAATTATAATCTTTTTTAACCATGAAAATCCTTAAAAAGACAATTTGTTTCCAATACTCTATTAACACCATTTAAGCATTCAGAGCGTCTTCATTGAATGTGTTTTATTTGTTTAGCAAATTATGCATATCTTGGAAAATTTCTAAAAAAAACAAAACCAATAGTATGTGGTAACCTTTTAATAAATATTGTCTGCATTGTTTATCGGACTAACTATCTAACGCTATCTTCGTAACTGTAGAGTATATTGAAGTTTTTATTGATAATTATAGATAAGTGGCAACTCTATTAAAACCACTCTAATAAAATTTCATTAAAACCATAATTCCAAAATTTAAATATTGTAACAATATACATTTCGAATTTTGTAAAATTGTTTGTCTTTAATTATTATACATATACTTGTAGTTGGCAACCCTATAATACAATGTGCGATGATATATCCAACTACCCTACGCCACCTATAAAATTCATAATATTGAAAAATTAAATATAGCATTTGGAAAGCATGATTAAATGAATGAAAACTTATGGAAATCCTCAAATTTTAAATTTGTAATGAGGAAAATTTTTACAATCTAAATTTGAGATTTTTCATTTTTCTTCAAATTGGTTTTTACAAAATTCAATATTCCAGTGAAGAGTAAATTCAACTTAAAACAATTTTTTCCAAAAAATACTATGCAATTGTCGCTAAAAGTGTGAACCTATTAGTAACAATGCCTTTAATTCATTCCGACTTACTACCGTATTTTTGGTAAATACACAGTTACAGCTCTGTATGTGTGTGTGCATACACTCATGTGTTTATTTGCTACTAGCTGCCTGTGTTCACTTAAATGCTCACGCAAAATTATACAACTCATCCTTCCAGCGCTTGGCTTAAGCCCGTGGCCACAGTTGAGGGTCAAAGTCAAGTTGCCACATTCGACAGAAAATAACAAAGCGAACCTACACATGCAAATATGTAATTTTAAATATAGGTATGTGTATGTGCTTATTAAAAATTAGTTGTGCATACATAATTAGCTGTAGGCAGAAAACAGCGAAAGAAGAATTAAAAAGAACTGAGTACAATGTATCCCACATGCATATAGTTATTTTGGGCGTGATGTTTTTTTTTAAAATATTTTTTTATGGTACATTTTGATAGAGATATGTTATATATATATATATATTAATAGATATTGGTGTTTTTTAACAGTTTTTTACTTAAGTATTTAACAGTAGGGCACTCAAGGATATATTGCAACTGTGTTCAAAATCTCTACATATTTTTTAGTAAAGAGCTTATACTTGCACATGCTTTTGTATTAGTACAAGGTTGGCTAAGCCATTTAACGGTAATATATAATCAATTATTTATAGATAAACGAAGTTATTAAGATTTTAATTGTTTAACATTTTTTTAAAGCTTCAAAGTAGACGGGTTTAAACTATTAGTACAACTTCTGTTGTTCAAACAATTCTTAATTGTAATAATATTTTTTGTTCAAACCATTGCATTCTTATTGCACCTGAATCACCCCATAGTGACAATAACAAAACACAGAAATATGTACATAAATATAAACTTAAACATTTTCAAATAAGAAAACAACTAAAATTCGAGTTAAAACAATACTATTTTTGTTTTATTTAAAACAAAATCGTGTTTCTAACCTGATATTTGGTTGACAGTGTATAAATGTCATGAACATGAGCGACCATCACCTTTGAGCGGCATAAAGACGATAAAAGGAAACTGTAAAAAAGAATAATAACAGTAAATTATCATTTAATGTTTTTACAGTTTGAATAAGTCGAATGAATGCATTTTTCTAAACTAAGATACAGCATAATACTTGAACTTTAGGGGCATTAAGTACAGTGTTAGCGCATATCAAATAAGGTAGGGCAAGTAATGACTAACCTTAAAATAACCACTAAGACATTTAGTCTATATTGGATTGCATTAATGTACATATATATAGTAGATATATGATAAAATCGGTGTAAAGCGCATGCAAAATCATTATTCGGCATTGAAGCGCACTAAAGTTGCAGAATACGAGCAGTAGAGGTGATGACTAAATTTTTATATTTATATAAACGCAACAAATTTAATATAAAGAAATAAAAAATTTAAAACTGAGTTAAAATAATTAAAAAACTATAATTATTATTATTTATTGGCAGCGATTCTCGATATTAATTATTCGGGATCTTCACATAACAGCAGGTGAAACAGGCTACCTAAAAGAAAATTTCTTCATTACCGGTTAGCAAAATTAAAATGGTCGGCGAAATTAACGTCTTATAAAATTTTCACTTAGTAACTTTCAATATTTTCACTAGTAAATGTCGGGATCCCGAAATTTCGTGATTCATTTTCAAAAATATTATATTTGGTTTTAAAATGCGTATTATTATATGTTTAATCATTATTTTTTATTAGCCCAATTAACATTTTAGTGTGAACGCAACCTTAAATTATTTGATATTAATAAATCATATAATCATAATTACTTTAAGTGTAATCAACTGCAAAACTAGGTTTCATATACAGTACAACGTACATGCATATATAAACATCTTTACGGAACTTGACAAATTTGTTCGGGATCCCAAAATGGTAACATAGAAATCCCAAAGTATGTACGGATTTTTCGTTTTCATTTTCACTGTCATTGTTAAGTATATGTTAGAGAACAGTTCTACAAAATTATTAGCTCTTAGCTTTTTAATTAAAGGCAGACAACCGGAGAATAAAAAAAACTGAATATTGGCTTATATGTGATATGTGATGTAGTTGTCCAAACTAACCGATTCCGACCAATAATTAGCAGAATCTTAAATGCACCTATAGGCAAAGTTGTTTAGAATGATCCGTAAAACATTTCCCGCATGCGCGCTTTTT